AGGATGAGGACTCCGCAAACGGACCCGTGAACGGCTGGTACACGTCTCCCAACTAAAGCCGTATGCGCCACCTATGTCGGGCCCTACCTGGTGGGCAGCCTAACGTCCCCTGGTTCTAGTTCCCTTAGAATATTTCAACTGCTGATTCAGCAGATAGTGCCGACATAGACCCCTTACCACATAACTAGGGCACCATAAACCGCACCATAAACCGAAGTTCAAAACCTCAACGTGTGCGACGACTGCCAGACTACTTGGCAGACTACCGTATTTGCACGAATATAACGCGACCACGAATATAACGCGAGGGCAGGTTTTGATGCCCTCAAAAAGAAAAAAAAAAATATTATTACTATTATAACGCGAACCGAGGCCGCGTCAATTTCTCGCACTCGGGGGCATAGCAGATGTGGAAAGTCAATGGAAATAGAAGAAATGTCAGTTTATGTTTTGACTGCACTCATCCTCACAGCTCAGGTCCTTCCGTTTACAATCCACTTGGCGACTACGCAGATAAGCAGCAGCACGGCACCTGCTTGTCTGGTAGTTCCTTTTTCTTCGGTGCGAGCTCCTGGGCAGCCCACAATCCAAACAAGGCACCGAAGCAGAAGCACCAACACACAAACACCGGATCACTCTGGAGCAGAAACTAAACAATGCGCAGCAGAAAAAAAAAGACTGCTGAATCCGATACACGATCATACTTCTTGTTCTGGTCCCTCTGCATAAACAAATGCCTCGTGTTGCACGATTGCGTAAACCCTGGCGTAAACGCGGTTAGTGGTCTTGGCTTGGCTTGTGTTGACTTGACTTGGCCCGGCTTGGCTTGGCTCGAATTGGCCGGTGCCCGCATTCTCCGGTGCCCGCATTCCCGCATGGTGTGTGCCGTGTGTGCGCGCGCGCTGAGTTTTTGCGGCGTGCGCGCGTTGTACAAACACAAAAATGATAAAATGCTTTTTTATGTTTTCTATTCGTCCCTTCACGTGGCCCGATAGCTAATAAATTCCCTTCCACACTCCCACTTCTTTTCCCACCGGATATTTTGCATTGAGCCGAAGGGATGGCTTACTCCTCTGGCTTTCTCCAGACTCGCGCGCCTCGTGGCTGAACTCGATTCCGAATATAACGCGAGGTGCGTTTTGGAGCACGTAATTTCGGAAAAAAACTCGCGTTATATTCGTGCAAATACGGTATTTCCTCCCCGAGAGAGATTTACGAGCACAGATCGATGGGACTTGGGTCTCATTAAAAATAGGTTGGGATGTGAGCTACAAGCTACTATCTAATAGCACCAACTATCGGCACACCAGTTCTTGTTTCGCAAAATCCCAGGGTGGCCAACAAGATAGCCGTCGTTCCATCTTTGTTCTTTTGGCGAGCTTCACCAAGCCGCGCAGTACCTGCCTTGTTTATTTATATACTTCTTAATAAAAGTTAATTAGTTACTATTACATCGCTTTGTCCTCGCCTCATAGCCCAGAAGCCGCTCCAGGCCAACACCCAGCCTTGGAGCTCACAACTCTGCTAAAACAAAAACCGGATGTCCAACATCTTTTTTTGCTAGATCCAAAGCAAAACATCAGTTATGTGTGACTGCAAAAAAGATTTTATAAAAAGTAATTTGTTTCTAGATGTATTATAGTTGTGGGAAAAAAGAAAAAGGTTAGGGCTTTATATTCCTGACAAATTTTTAACAAATTCGATTGAAGACAACAAAATAAAAATAACAAAAAAGCCTTTCTTTAGTATCATAAAATAAATTGACTACTGCCAAAACTGGTTATAACAAAGTCAAGGTGAATCTGAAATCACTTCGCTATATCCGCTTCTTCGTTATATCTGGACTCCATAAAAGTAATCTGCAAATCAAAAAGATAACACTAGCCGTAACGAGCACACGTTTATCGTGCCTGCAGAAAGCGGTCGAGGCCTCCTAGAACGCGCTCTCTGCTATACTTGGTGACAACTTTTCTTGGCAATGCAGTGGAGGGTACAGGCCACGCCTTCCCTCTCCCATTTTGAGTGCTGAATGAAGTTGTGCGCAGGCTCTCCTTCTCTCCACTGCATTGCCAAAAAAAGTTGTCGCCGAGTATATATCAAAGCAGCTTCTCCCCAACTGCAAGAAGTTCCGATAAAAAATAAGTCCTGCGAGCTACGTACGGATCATGTCGACAACTGCGACGGCCGGCGGTAAACGGCATTCTTTTTTATGTTTATGTGCACTTCGTCGAGGATAGCAGCACACTTTTATTTTCCAGGAGATTGACTTCGTCTTCCCTGTCCAGGTGCTGGCGGAGTCGGGAATCAACCTCCTTGAGGAGCAGTGAGTCGCCGAAACGGTACTTCAGCGAAACTAGAGTTTTGCGCGGCAGCGCGCTAACAACACCGTTACGGAACATGAAATTAACGAAGATGTGCGCACGGCACCGAGTTTGTGCTCAAGTTCCTGTTACGTCGCTATAGAGGGCCTAGATTTAAGAGAGGGGGCAACTGCTCGATCAGGGTCGTGTGGTTTGTGGACCGCATTTGCAAAATGAGCTGCAGCCTGCAAGGGGTCAAAAGTGTCCACCTTCTGCAAACCTGTCTGCCTCTCTGCCCGGTTTCCTTGCTACGCTGGCCACGAGACAACAAAATGCGGGGGTACTTACGCCGATCTGCCCAGGAGGAGTCCGCCATGAAATTGAAAATGTTCTCCATAGCTCGAGTTTCTCGCTCTCTTAAACCTAAGCTCTCTCCGTTGTCACCGTATCGATACGTTGTCGCTAGCGCTCCGATTGACCCCGTTGGCAAGCCACGATGGCTTCTCCGTGTGCGATGCGGAAAAGCCGCTTCCTAGATGAAAGCGGGGAGCAGACGACGACAGAGAGCCTGCCGCTGGCGGCCTTTGCGAGGCACGTCTGCGGCCCGTTTTGGGTGACTGCTTGGCCTACGACAGCAAAGTGCGGCGGTCTGTGACTTAATAAATTTTCCAAATGCGATTATTTTTGTTTAAATTATCAAAAAATCTCTCTTCACTATTATTGTGGGAACAGCTCATTTTCCTCCGCTAAAAAATGACACAAATATACTAAAAAAGTAAAAACGGGAATGGGAAATCGCAATCGTGAATACCAGGGCTCGTAGCCTGCTCGGCCTTCGCAGAAAACGAACAAGAGTGAACATCAAGCAGCCCGCGACACGGGCTGTTCGACATTCTTTTAGGATTAGTTTCATTGAGATAATCTCCAAAGAGCCTTCCCGGCTATGTTCCCGGTCTTCGCGAAAAATAGCTGATAGAGTCGGGTCCGGGGTATGGGGACGGAATAGACACGTTCATTCATTTGCTTTGGCCTGTAAAAAAAAAAGCAGCTCTCTTCAAAATGTGCCCCAAAACAAGCTGGATTCCGTCTGATCATCGTAAAAGGACTATCGTCGACACAGTGTATTGGATTTGTGGTGCTACTTGAGGCCTTCCTCAAATCCTGTTCGGATAACATAGCACTGCCGGGTATGTAGAATACAGTCTAAGCTCGTTATAACAGACCTTGATTTTGACCAACATTTCGGTCTGTTGTAAGAGGAGTATGTTGAATGCAAATATGAAGTTGAGTCAGTGGTGCATAGAGGAAAACCAACCGAACTTCACAAATCGGTATGTTATATCCAAATGTCTGTTATAACCAGGTCTGTTATAATGAGCTTAGACTGTATATGCTGTTCAATTAACGAGATTCGTCCATTTTCATGTTGTGAGCGTGGAATATGCATGCAGTTCGGCTATCCTGTGGGGTGAAATATTTTCGGCAGTTAAGACCTTTGTCGAATGACACGGCTGAGTGTATGGTGCCAGAAAAAAAATCAACATAAAGTGAAACAAACATTCCAGCTGCATTTGTTCCGTTGCACACGGACTCACCAAAAAATAGCTTTGTTTTTGTACCCAAAAATAGTACAATGCTTTCTTAAAAACCTCAATAAATTCTATTTGCCACAGAACCCAAAAGAAAAAAGAAAACGTGGCAGTTTAGGCACCACCAGCATCCGGACGTGCGCCTACGCAGCTGCCACAGCCTGCTAATGAGAAAACCCACAGCACAGTGCAGTAGGGCAATACTGAAATACACTCTCAAAACCAGAGACGCATGCTGTAAATCGCTTTGTTCAAGACTGCCGCTGGGAAGGTCTATAGCAGGGGTGGCCAAGCTGCGGCTCGCGAGCCAGCTCTTCGCATGTTTCAGTGCAGCTCGCGGCTCCCTTTCCTTCCGTTCACCCTCCCCCCCCCCCCCCCATCTCCCTCCCGGTCATATGAGCACTACCACAAAAAGAGGAATACGGCGCACTTTAAATTGAGACGGGTTGCAGTTTGGCAGTCTTGTGCTATTGCTACCTTACGTATAGTTGGCCTGGTTTTGACTTGGGAGAGATTGAAAGTATGTAGTTTCGTTAAGAGCTCTGGACAAAAGTTTGCCCTGCCAACCCCCTCCCCTTCCCTTCCCCCCCCTTCCTCCCTCCCTCCCTTCCCCCCCCCCTCCCTCCCCCCTCCCTCCCCCCTCCCTCCCCCCTTCCCTCCCTCCCTCCCTCCCTCCCCACCCTTGGCTTTTGGAGGTTTTGTTTGCAGCTCTTAGGCCAGGTCAGCCTGGCCACCCCTGGTCTATGCCATCTTTTTTAGTTTTGGTCATTGCTGGGGGTGTGTACCTTAAACTGGAAGTCTTCTCAGACTTCACCTCTGGTGGCGTCATGACACTTCCAGAAGTTTCCTACCTCCATGTCGCCACCCTTCCTATTTCCCCTCTCCCACTGCTATTTTCATCGTTGGGGGCCTCCATTTGTTGCCGCATCTTGTTGCCGCATAAGCCGACTTATCCAAGAAATGTTCAATTAACAAAATTAACCATTTCAAGAATTGTTATTTTTTCGTTTCAAGGGCCCTTTGAGCACTGGCACCAAGTACTGTGCCTCAAAGCACCATGCGTTTGTGGCACAAGTGAAAGAAAAAAAAGAAAAAAAAAGTAGGCCCTTACTTGTACTTGCTGTCAGAGAGGAACTCCAGCATTTCTTTCTCGGTAACACCGCTGACGACTCTGTCTGCCTCACCCTGCCAGAGTGAAAATGCACAAGCCGACGGTCAATGCACCAACAAACTTCACTTCCACTCTTCATTTTCCCTCTGCACAAACACTCAATACATTCCAGATCACCCCTAAATGCATCAACAGCTAAAGCAATAGATTTATTTGTTTATTCGAACACCCTCGGCAGTAGAGATGCAATCCATAACAAGGGAGGCCATAAAAGAGAGCTTGGTTCCAACCTGCATCTCTAGATTGACTAACGGCAGTGCGTTACACTTGGCTGTTTCTAAATGCCAGTACAGCCACCTGCTAACCAAAAATTGTAACCAATCAACCAAATATTTTGGAGTCAATTACATTTAATATTAACTTTTAGTTTGAATTTCGAAGTTTACTTTAAAAAACTCATTGCCGAGCAATTTCGAAAAACCGCTTGCCACCGTTTGACTGGTTCCCAACGTGCCAGCTTTTCGTCAAAAGTAAGCCAACGTAAAACAATGGATTGCAGGCATCCTGGCTGGTGCCTCTGTCGTGCAATCATGTTCGCATGCACGTGAAGGCAACTTCGGTAGGCTTGAAGTTGCGCGCGCTCCGTCGCGCGAGCCGAGACAATGGCTGTTTGATCGAAACCGAAATCATGTCCACTCCGCTCCGTCGCCAACGGATTCCCAAAATTGTATGAAAAATGTAACTGTCAAGCATACGACAATAAACAGTCCAGCGGCGTGTGATTGCCAGGCAGGCAAACAAGGTAGAAGCTAAACATAAAAAGAAAGGGGGAAAAAAGTAACTGAGCTATTGATGCAAGACATCGCGAGCCAGAGTCAAAAAGTTCTTGGAGCGTTTTGTGCAACGAATGAACTCGAGACCAAGCGCGCTGTAAGGGTTGAGCATTCAGACATTGCCTTCTTTGCTTTAGCTAACTTCTTTTCATCAACCTTCTTTCCCGGCAGATTTTTCACATACCGGGGTCCCTCTCGAAACAAAGCCCACCCAGAGAAACCTAGGTAATCAATACTTCCGACACAGCAGTCTTTGAGTTAAAAAGGGATTTTTGTAGTAACGTAAGATTTAAACAAGGACAGGAATGTTGACGAACATGCAGCGGTACTTAGTTTCATTTCAGAAAGCGCCATATCTGTAGCTTCGTGGGGACGGCAACACCCAACGTCGCGCAACCACAATGACTGGAAGGCAGAGACCAAATATAGTTTTCCCACGGCCGTTGCTTTCAGGAGAGAGTGCTTCAGCACACAAAGTTACTCCCGCCGTGCAAAAACGTGGTTTTGTTTCACAGCATGACGGCATGGCTGGTACCTGGCACGCTAGCATCGGAGCGTCCGCACACACCCACGCCTATCATAGGAAAAAAAAAAGGCGCAAGACGAGACTTACGAGACGAGAGCGCGAAACGCGAGACGACGAGAAAACCATGCAAGACCGGATGGACAATTAATGCAGGGTACTGAGTGTCGGGCTCAATTGCTCAATGGCACGGGCTCAATTACGGTACTCAGTTTAGCTTCGATTTTGAAAGGAGACCGAAATTGGTCCTTTGGCGCAGGCTTGGCACAGATTACCCCTAGTTTGGCAAAATGTAGCAGGGTTAGCTCCTTGGCGCAATTGGCGCAGTAATCACATCACTGCACTGTACGCAGAAACGACCCCAGATAAGCAGTACATGTATCAACTGCTCATGGGCAGTACCGAGTGCAGTAATGTCCATGAAGCGGAAAATGTATTGACTGCCCAGAGATAGTTTTAAATTCATAGGAAATAAAATGTGTTATGTGTGCCCAACTTACTACCTTATACACAATAATGACCCAACACGAAGTGGTAGATATACCAACTACATACAACTGACAGCACAAATGGTGGGGTTGCCTTTACGTACGGCGAGGCTTTAGTATGGACAACACTTGCCTTGGGACTGAGCAGCCTGAGCAGATTCATCAGAGACTGCACAAAGAGGTTGCCCACGCCCTGCATTTGCTGGCGTCTGCCCTCTGGCGTCTTGAGGATCCTGCACAGCAGACGAGAACCCATGTGGAAACGTGGCAGTCTTAAAATGCACATGGCAGAGACCAAGCACCGTGCAACAATAGGGTGTTTCAGCTAAGTTCGGCCGACCATGTCCGATGACCATTTTGAAATTTTACGAAAAAAAAAATATTTTGTAGACTCAATGCTGATCAAAACAAAACCGAAACTTGTCTTGCGAAAAAAAAGTGCGTCTTCGCGGAAAAAAATTAGAAGCACACTCTCAGAGTGAAGCGCTTCTCGCGAATTGCACGAAGTCAGCATTTTGGGCACCTCTCCCAAAAAGTGGGTCACGGCTACAATTCAAAAATATTTACTAACAAAGTATGTATATGGAGGATTGACTCGAAATATTTATCATTAAGTATCGACGTTGCTAATTCCTATAAAAAAAATCGCAAACATGGCACATTCCGCAAAAATACTTACATTTTATTAATTTTGTTTTCTGCATCTATTAATATCAAAACTGTTAAACTTTGCCAGCGTGTTTTCCTGTATCTTGTCAATATTGGTGCTAAATATGGTTGTCCTCGGCAGTGAAATAAACTTGCGATAAATGCTTAAATTGGGTCATTTTAATAATTACGAGCTATTTGGAAATCAATTAAAAAAAAGGCCATCTTTAATTTTCTTTAAACTCTCCCACATTAAGGCCAATGATAGGTACTAACAGAATCTGCAAAAAAATGTTGCATTATTTTTGTGTATTTGAAGTTATAAAGCTAGAAATATGACCGAATTGAGGCTACCGCAGCACCGTCAATGAGATGTGTAGATACACATTGATGACGAATTCATGAATTTTACAAAGTGTAATAATGCTCAAGGGTGGTCAAAAAGAAACAAATTGACGGCACACAGGTGGATGGTGGTTTTGAAGTGAAAATTCTTGGTGCGTTTATGTATAAGAGTCGCAGAAAATCCGTTCGGTCCGGGGCGATCAAGGGGCTCTCTTATGCTGCATGCTTCGCAAAGCCTGTTTTCAAAAGCCGGCGTGTGAGGTTTCTGTGTACACCACATAAAGGAAACGAGAAACGACCGAAGCAAGCGGCTCCGCTTAACACACGTTTATATCAGACGCCGAGGCATCCTAGCGCGCTCCATTTCGCTTTCCGACGAGCGTTGGTGTAATCAGCGGGGCGCGCGGACTGGGCCCAAGGGTCAGGTTTCTTCCCTCCATGGGCAGTCGCCTTCAGAATGATAATAAAAACTCATAGCCGTTTCACATAACACAGTTGGACTGCATTTTTGAAAAGGTACCCATAGGCCGTGAAACGCAAAGAAAAAGATCAATACTGAAGAGTACCCAGTGTGTAAAATTGTTTTTATAATTCTTTGTCATCAGATTTTTATGATGATTGTTGTAGCCGCTTTGCACGACACTGCTCACAGGCACTGGTGGAAACGAGTCTTATATCCGAAGGGGCTTTTTTGTTGACGCTCCCGTTCTTGATACCAGCAATTCGTGCCGCTGTGGGTCGACGCGTGTGCACTGCCAGAAGTGCCAGGATTGAATTCCAGGCACAGGTCGGACGGAATCCCAGTCTCTCGCTTTCATTTTCCTGAACACCTGCACGTCAGGCCTTGGCAGGTGAATTAGTGCAACATTCGGTAATTTTGTCTTGAGGAGGTTCACCATATCTGGTAATTTTGTCTTGAGGAGGTTTACCACACTTAAGGGGAAACACTGCTTCTTGAGCTTTTTTTTTTATTTATGGTCCAATCCAAATGAAATTTATACAGCATAATCATCTTCCCATTCTGATGACAAATATGTACTTTGTTTTAAAATAGCATGGTTAGTTTTGATAAAATTAACTATTTTATTTGAACATTTTATGGGCGAGATTCTAAAAAATTATGAAGACAAAACTCAAAAAGAAATGTATCTCTGTAAACTAGAAGGTCTACAGAATCCAATAAGGTATAAATGAAGGCTCCATGATCATTTATAACATTTTTACAGCATTTCGAAATTTTCAGTTTATAAATCAAATTTTACAATCTATGTTGGAGGCAGTGTTGCCAGATGGAGAAAAAAAAAGTCAGCAGATTGATCCCCAAAAAGTCAGTAGATTTGCACAAAAATCAGTAGATTCCACGAAATATGTGTTTTGCCATGTTTTGCTATCTCCATTAATACACACTTCAAAGAAATAGTATAGAGTAACAAATAACATGGTAATAAACACAAATAAAAATGAAAGAAAAAAACAAGACCAGTTCTCAAGTAACTTTATATGAAGGACAAATTAAAATGACACCATAAATGTTTTTGTTTTAGTCATTATTGACTGTTTCGAGGATTATTCTTTAGAATCGAGACTGAGGCACTTTTGGGATCACAGATGAAGGCGACAGTGCGACGTTCACCTGTCGCTATTATTGAAACAAAACCGAAACAAGACGCTCCGGCAAGTGCGCGCGAACATGTCCAATGGAAGTCCTCTGCATGCTGCCATCTTTCCTCACTGGGCTGTGGAAGGTTTTTGAAGCAACGCTGTTGGTCCGGAGCACTGTTGAGGCTACGCGTTGTCTGCTACGGGCTTATTTCTTTTTCGCCTGACCCAAAGTTTGCATTCAAACGTGGCGAAACTTCATTCGTTAGCTTTTTAAGCCACTGAGGAATATGATTATATCATTTTCTTGCCACAGCCTGCCAAATAAAAGAAAATAACTGAAATTTGGATGTCGATCCCATGCATTTCGCCGAACGAATGAATGAAAATTGCGGCTCTCTCCGCTCAACTCGAAGCTATTCTAGTAGATTGTATAGGAGCAGCCGAGAGTTCAGGCGCATGCGCAAACACCTCTCGCTCTGCGCCGCGGGCTGATTGGCTCACTCGGGAGAGGGACGTTACGGCGAGATCATAGACTAGCCAAACTCTCTCCATATATGGCTCTGGCCCGGATGTCACCGTCGAACCTGCCGAACCTGCTCTGGGTGAATAGATAGATGAATATACGACTACTTCACTCGAATAGGACGGGCTTCTGGGCCATCTAGCCTGTGCTTCGTTTTTAATTCTGGGACATCATGAGTTTCCTTTGATGGGCGGCACTGGGAACTGAAGGGGCCATATAATAAATTTTTAATATGTTTACTAAAAAAAAAGTCAGTAGATTTTCTTGTTTTTCAGTGAATCAGTAGACCCGGAACGAAATCAGTAGATCTACTGATAAATCAGTAGACCTGGCAACACTGGTTGGAGGTGCTAACAAAAAATACTGATGCCTAGGTTGATGCAATTAGACCCCTTATTGGATACCCCACTTACACACCTACCAAAGAAAAAAAGAATTAGGAAGATTGGTTGTGTACAGCCTGAGATACGGCTTCCGCAAAATAGCAAGCTGCGCAAAAAGTTAATTTCGAGAAAACAGCAAAAAACGTTCACGGACAGATTTTTACTGCTACCCGCGGCGAACTCCACTCGGATGCGACATTCCCGCAGATCTTGCAACATAGCTTGAGTTTTACTGCAAGTCCATACTCGCGATCGCATTTTATGAGATCGACATCGCCGCAACAAGCTTTACACTTCGCGAGCTGAAGAAGCGAGTTCACGACGTCGAGGCTTACGACGATGAAACTCTGTACTCTCGGGAGCTTCTTGATCGGCACCCGAGACGCCGGCCATCAGGGAAGCTTTCCGCATCGTAGTGGACGTCGACGAAAGGAGTTTTTCCTCGGCTTTTTTTTCTGTCTCGTCGATCTCGGAAGCGCGGAGCATCACCGTGTCAAGCCGCACTCGCTCGCTTGATGTCACGGATGTCGACGGCGCTGTCAATGCGACATCTTTGTGTTCGGGCTCCTGCACCTCGTTGTGGACGTTCAGGCTCGCGAGAAGTTGAACTGCGCCGTGGATTAGCTTCCTCGGGCCCTTTTTTTCGTTTTTTTCCAAACTTGTGGGCCGTGTGAAACTTTTTGCGTGGAGTTGTTGTGATCGGCATGATCGGAGACGCGCACGAGAATCAAACAAGATGGCGGATCGGGAACAACGAGCAGACGCTTCTTAACCCTAACGGCCAATGAGAAAGCGCCATTTGCACACGTGATCCAAAACAGCCAACCGCGTGGCAAGATTTAGATTTTTATTTGTGCTTCGTTCTCGGCGGCCAATCACCGTCTAACATCGTGAATGCTGGGAGAAGAAAGAGCGGGAGCGGAGCTTTCAAATGAGACCAAGATGTCCCCCTTCTATCGCGTTGTTCTCGAGCTACCGGCGGTCAAATTGTACCTTTTTTTTTTTTTGCTTTTTTCGGAGGAAGCATCTCCGTTTAGATACTTCAAATCAATACCCCGAAATAAATAGGGCGTATTTTGCGATAATACTTTGAGAAAAGATGCGAAAATACCTGTAGCTATTAAAAAACATAATTTCAAAAATGTGATTTTTTTGTCATTTTTTTGTTTCAAGGAGCCGTGTCCCCCCTTAATAGCTGATGTGGCAGGCCCTCAGAGATTGAAAAGAGTTGCCTGGTGTTTGACAAGGCCTCCAATCCCATCGCAGGCGTTCTTGCCATGCCCAGTAGCTGAAAATAGCCATTTGACCGACCGGTACCTCCTTGGTTTTCGTGAGCTCATGAAGTTGATACCGGTTCTTAAAATGACTGCCCACACCGTCACTGACGTACGTCACATGCGCATATAGCGGAGCAACGTCCTCAAGCCACTCATGAATTTTCGCGACGGCGTAGCATGCATGGGCGGAATCGTGGCTGGCATCATACTGATGAGGGCGCAGCTACGCGTTCCTTTTCTAGTTGTCACCACGCATGTGAAGATCGAAATTTGCGTCTTTTGCCAGTGATATGACTGAACTTCTTCAGGCAGCACAACTGTCCAGTTTTCTGCAAAATCAAAATGGAGCAGGACATTACCTTTCTCTAGGAATTGTTTTGCTTCGCTTATAGTTTTGCCCTGTTCGCGTCAAATGTATTCATGCTGCACCCATTTTCTCAAGCACTCTCGAAGGT